CACACACACACACACACACACACACACACACACACACACACACACACACACCCACCCTACCTGGGATTAACTGAACAACAAGTCTCAGCTTGAGACCAGCAGGACTCAACAGTCAGGTCTTTATTCAGGTCTGCTCTGTGAAACCTTCAGTTCTTCAGAGGTTCTAATCTTGAGTCAGGTTTGATCTGGGTCTGGATCTGGTTCTGGTTCTGGACATGTTTGGTCTGAAGGTTTGTGCTTGTCTCTGTCTGCAGACATCACCCTCCAGTGGTTGATCCAACACTCCCGGACTAAGAGGAGTTCCTGAGAAATGACCCGACAGAACAGGCCAAACCCCGCCCCCTTTACCCTGCACCCCACCCTCCTTCCATTGACCTGAATTTACTTTATGGCCCCGCCCCCTTTACCCTGCACCCCACCCTCCCTCCATTGACCTGACTTTACATTATGGCCCCGCCCCCTTATCCCTGTAGCTGTGGATGCACAGGTACCTGTGAGGTTTCTGTTGGAGACTCACAGCGGGTCAGAACCAGAACTTTGACACATTCATGCTGAGTTTCAGAACATTTTCAGGTTTTATTAAAGAAACTATCTTAATCTGAGAAGATTTTTAAACATTAAATAAAATAATTATAATTCCAGAATCATAAATGTAATGTTTTACAGGATGTGTGCAGTAACCTGCTGCAGTTTAATATCACAGCTTTACACACAGATTAAATTAGACAATAACCCCCAATTTACACTAGATGTGTCTCCGCTGCGCTGCGCTGCGCTGCGCTGCAGTCCGGTCCGACCTCCACAGTAAATACACAACTATTCTAATCAACGACACTGTTTACACTGACTCCACACGGCTGTGAGCGAATGGTGATTCTGCCGGACACCAGAGCTGCTCCAGAGTTAACCTACAGATGTCACGTCGCACCAACAGGAAAAGGAACAAGCACAACATCTGTATTTTCAAAATAAGACACCGTAAGGCAGAATAATTTTATTGAAGCCCCATTTATATTAATAAATATATTTAAATATTTCTACACAAATGCTGTCAGAATGAATGGTTCTGTTTGGGAAGCAGATGTGTACACATGATACACGAGGATTTTATTTTGAAGTCAGAAGTTTCAAAAAGACGACAGTGAAACAGTTTCAACCACAGATATAAAAGCTTTTATATTAATGTTTTCAGCTGTTTGGAGTTCATCTTTCACAGAATTAATTATTTTTTGCTCTGACTTCTACAATTGTCACTGGATTTATCAGGTGATGTCGTCCTGCACACGCTGCCTCCTCTGTGTGTCGCAGAGCAGAGCCACATGTGGTGTAAATCCAGGCTCAGCTGAGTGCTCACTGTAAAACATCTGGATTTAGGAATGTTTGGGTTCAGCTTCTGGTTCTGACTGGTGATGATGTCACTCTGCTGCACAGGTTCTGGTACCGGTGCACCTTTGATCCACACCTGTTGGATCAAACATCACTACACCCTGTTCAAAAACACTTTTTAAAGGGATCCAGGATTAGTTGTAACGTTAAACATTTATTTTAACTGTAAAATAAAGACTAAAAATACTGTAGGATGTTTAGTTTTTATAATATTTTAAAATATATTTTAA